CCATAATATAAGAGGGAAACTAAGGTTAGGGTCATCCCTCTCTCTAATCTTAACTAACCTAAAGAGATCCCTATTTTACATTTTAGTTACTTGTATAATAATAAATAAAGAATAAACATGAAAAACAACAAATAAAGTACCTTCCTGAGTTTTCTTTTTCTTGCTGTCAATTCTTGCTGTCCCTACTTTTCTATACTAATGGTAGTAATGCACAAAATAATTTTTATTTAATTAAATAATGCACTAAAGGACATAGGATAATAACATGCAAAAAGTAGACAATTTTCCCTAACCATCACAAATTTTCTGTCTTTCTAACTACACGACAAGAACTGTTACAAAATCATCCAAGTTATTTATTATCATTCCCGTGAGAATGAAGTTTGTACTAACAATGAAATTGACAATTCCCCATTCAGAAATCATTATACAATATATCATTTGATAGATGAAAGCCTTGGCTTTTAATTGGTTATAGATAATATAGAATTAAACGTAAGAGAAAACTATTAACAAATCTTGAAAGAGAGGATGTGACAGGTGGGGTGTGGCAAGAGGGGTCTCATTTTCTATTTGATGGCACTGTAACAAAACAAAATTGAAGGTTATAAAAATTATGGTTTGTCTGACTAATGGCTAATGAATTTCATACTTATTGGAGGGGTGGTGGATAAAATAGAAAAGAGGAGATGCTTAGAGAAAATCTGTAATGTGTCACACTAGAGGAAATTTAGGCTTTTTTAAATATTTCCTTGTAAATTTAAGAAGTTAAAACTTGTATACTATTAAAATATGGTTTATTAGCTAAGATGTTTTGCTATACTAATTGGTATAACATAAACAAAAAGTAACTTAATACAATTTTTAATGCAAGTCGCTAAAACTATGTGACATGTGCAGTAAGGATTCCTATGGTAACAGGGTTAACAATCTTAAACACCTCTATCAAATCCCCTTTAACTCTTCTTTTTTGAAGAGGAAACAAGTTTAGAAATCTTAACCTATCTTCATATGACAACCTTTCTTTCTTACGTATTATATTAGAAGCCTTTATCTGAACCCTTTCCAACAGTTCAATATTATTCCTGAGGTCAGGAGCCCAAGACTGAATACAGTATTCCAAATGTGGCTTATACAATGACACTGTAACCTCTTCACTCTTGTTTACAATATTTCTGTAAAAATCTAAAATCTTATTTGCCCCTACACTATCAACAGCACCTTGCATGGATAGCTTAAGAGACTAGTTAACTAGAACACCAAGAACTTTTCTTCCATAACACTGTTAAAGTTACTCCCATAAAAATTATACTAATAATACAAACTGTGATATCCTACAGGTATTATCTTGCATATATTGTAATTAAAAGCCATTTATTTGCCCAACTCAACAAATAATCCAAATTCATTTCCAAGGCAGTAGCATCCTCCTTGCAGCCAACAAGACCAATAATATTATAACTTTGAACATGTTTTTTTGCATCTTAATGAAATTTTCAAAGTTTTTACTAAACATTATGTCTTCTGTGGACAAAAAATCGAAACTTTTAATTAAATATTTTTTACTAAAACTTTGTCCATAAATATGTAGAGTCAGAGTATGACTGCTCCGAGTACAAAGTGATTTTCATTTGTATAATCTCAGAAAGCTCCTAAATAAATATCAAATGTTTTTTTTCTTCAGAAAAACTTTATATTTTATCTGTTAATTTCTTTACCCCCAGCTCTCTAAAGGGTTGATCAATTTGACCGACCTCGTAACCACCATAAAAATTAGATGTTACAAAATGCAAAATAAAATAAGTAGTACTGTCCTGTCTTTTTTAATATTAGCCATGAAGTTCCAGAGTGTTTCTCTTGAGAGTTTTTACTTCTAACCTTTTCACATTTAGTTCCTATATTTATTTTACTGTTAGCAGCTGAAGTACAAACTTGCCAAACATAAAGCAATGACCACTGCTTCTACCATTAGACTGTTAACATGACACTGTAATATGACAATGTCGATAGCAAATATACTTTTGCAGCACAGTTACCAGAATTTCCCTACAGAGTTTATCATAATCCAGGAACACCATGGGATAGAATTTATAAGCTTGTTTTCAGTACAGTGGTTGCAATGAGAATTGTCTAAAGTGATAAAAGTGCAAGAAAATGTTTAGAATGTGACTGTATAGTCTAGGCAAATTAAGGTTGTAAAGGGAACAAATGACAACAGAATTTGTTCCCTCTACTCACACTTCCCACTCTTCCTCCCCACATTTTTTGGTACTCATGTCTAATAATAGTAATAGTTTGGTAGTAGCACATAGAGGTAGTCGTGTCACATGATACGGTGTCTTCTATTGGTGGAGAGTTGATGCATGATGATTTGCATTCCAACAGGGGGATGTGGAAGGCTTTTAGCATGTGTTTTGATAAAAGTTTGCATACGAAGGGCATCTCAAAAGAGGAAAAGCTAATCTTGTGAGAGGAGGGAAGTACCTATCAGAAATACATTTTCTTATAGGAAAATTATAACTCGTAAAAAGAGCACACAGTTCAGTTTGTGGTAGTCAGCATTCCTTTATTGAAACTTTTTCATTTGTTTATATTATATCTGTGTGTTTATACTTATTGAGATCTGTTAGTGAGAGTTATTTTCTAAAGAAAATGGTGATATGATATCTCTCTCTTAAATTTAAAAGAAATTACTCTTTCATAGTTGCCCATAGATGTCAGTATAACTTCACCTGCCTCTGTAACCTGGATGAGGATAGATGAATAAAATTATGATAATGGTAAAACCAGATTTGAATATATATAAACTTTTACTGAATATTGCTCAATAAATTATTTACTGTTACTAACAATTTGATCAGGAATCAGTTTTAGTTGTTGCAGGACTATAGTGGATTACAACAGCATACCAAAACTGCTGCATAAATGATTTACTGTTAATGACATCTTGATCTGGAGATGTTGATTTTTGGTGTTGCAGGACTATACTGGTTTACGACAGCAAGATCTTCAGGAAGCAAAAGACCAGCTACTTGTTGAGACAGCTGACATGCTTCATGTTCCATTGTTTACTGCTGAAGCCCTTCTTCGAAATTATGGTAAATGCTTCTTTACTATTTAATTTTTTTAACTTAAAATATATCACAGTCTTAAAACAAAGGAACATTAACTTCCTAATATTTTATTCAATAATATTATTCATGCAGTTGTTTAAGGTAATCTAATTAGCTTTGAGTTAAATACATGTATCTGCTTATACAAGTGATGCTTGTACAACAAATTTCAAGAGTGAAGTATTATGTTTGATGATGCTGCTATTTGTTCAAGTTTCTCTTGTAATTGACCTTTATTCTTCAAAACATCCAATATTATCTAGCTTACAAGTATCCATTGTGACTGAACAACAGTATCTATAATTAGATTATTCTTTGAATACACTTGTGTTTTATAAAAATAATTTTGAGGTAGTTGACCAAGAATAAATACTGTGCTACCAAAATTGGAAAAAGTTTCTTGAGAGTGTTGTTAAGTATTGATGAATGAAAAACATCAGTGATGTTGTACTTTTTGAATTAATTGAATGATTAATGTAAAATTTTATTTTATTGTAAACAAGCTGAAATACCTGTCAACTGACGGAGAATGTTTAAACTTAATTAAAACAATGTAAGTTTAACAGCAATCATATATTTCAAAGTAATAACTTCAACATAAACTTTATTTCAAAATTTTAAAATTATAACAAAGGTTCATGAATAACATTTGCAGTTTGCTTTCCATCTACCAATAAATAAAGATTTTGAGGTGATCCCAGGTGTTTGAGAAACAATTGAGCAACTTACATACTTTGACCTTGAATCCCTTTAGAATATCAACATTGTCTAAAGCATTAACCTACCAAGATTGTTTGAGATTGACTCAATAGGCTGGGAGTAATTAACCAAGAGGCTTTGCAAAATAAAAATAGGGTTACATTCAATTTTTACCCTCTAAGAACATTTCACCTACTTCATAGAGTTCATTTACAAATTTTGGTTGAGATTGACCTAATAGGCTCGGAGGAGTTAGGGTGCAAGCAAACATACATTTCATCTTTATATAATATATAAATGTTCACACAGCATTGAAATATGTTGTTGTTTTTTTCAGAATAGTAACTGTTTTTTATTCCAAGTCTTTTAAAAACTACAGGTCAGTAAGTTTGCGCTTTATTCTGTTATATGGAATAGTTCAGCTTTAAAAGGTTTTAATTATAAAAACATATGAATGTTTTAGTTTTGAAGAATTAATTCATGCATTATAGTCCAGCCTATTGTGAAAAGTATCTTATAATTAAGAACTTTAAGTTTGTAGATTATGACATAACTAAAATTTATTGTAATTTCTTTTGTTATTACATTTGCACTTTCTGTGAGACATTAAATATGAACATCTCTGTTTAGAAATTCAAAGCTAAAAGTTTAATGATAACTAGCTGGAGTGCCTGTCCTCTGGATGGAAGTTATGTAAATTCATGAATAATGAAAGGTTATATTAGGACGTGGAAAATTGCTTCCCTTATATGTAATTGTAAAAAACATAAAAATACCCATGAAAACTGCAAACACAAAATGTGAAAATGCAAATCTGCATGTATCTCCGCATAGACCCAACAAACCTTCATGCCAAATTTGAAGATCCATCAACAGTAGTGGTAAAAAATCCCCATAAAAACTGCAAAATTTAAAATTTGTACATATCTTCCCATGGAACCCAACAAACTTTCCTACAAAATTTGGTGAAGATCCATCAACAGGAGCAAACTAGTGGTAAAAGAAGCCGAAATGCTCATAAAAACTGGGCAAAACTGAAAATTTGCATCTCCCCATGGACCCAGTGAACGTCCATACCAAATTTGGTGAAGATCTATCCACAGGAGATAAAACAGTGGGAAAAAAACACCCATAAAAACTCCAAAATGCAAAATACAAAACTGAAAATTTTTATGTACCTCCACATGGAGCTAATGAACCTCCATACCAATCCACCTGTTGCGAAGTAGTTACATAGCCATACAATAGACAGTATTATTTGTTTATGTAAATTTGTAAAATTATGAATCCTCTTAGAATTCTACCCAGACCAAGCTGGCACTTTTCCTTACTGACTCCATAATAGTTTTTTTCGAACACTTATCTGACCAGTGTAATGTTTAAAATAACAAAGTAAAATACTGCATTCCAAAACATACCTCCTCTAACACCTATAGCTATTTCTTCTCTACCAGGGTTTCGTCTTTGCCTGTATAAGCATTGATCTGATTTTTTCTTGCTTGCTCCAGTCTTTTATACCCCAATCAATTGCCCTTGGCGATATTTGTCTAGTGATACTCTCCACCTATGTCAATGCGACCTCTATCCTGGTACTAAATTTAAGCACCTCATCAGATAATTTTATCACTTTTTCTCGACAAAATTTCAATAATGGATCCCAGTATTATGATCGTTCAGAGATAGTTTGAATGTTAGTGTGTTAACTTGTTGATTTTTGTAATAATAATAATTAAAATAAATTTTTTTTCTTCTGATTGGGAATGAATTATGGTATGAATTCCCAAGTTACTATTTCCAACATGGGCAAATTGGGTCTCTCCTCTCCAACTTCTGATATCTAGTGTTGTACAACAATTGGGGGGGGGGGGCACTCTCAGTTGTGACTGTCAGTGATCTTATTCATTGTGCAATTGAGGGCAAGCCTCGACATTTTGGAGAAAGTTTAGATTTTGCTTTTTTCTGTGCCTTCTCTTAGTCTGTGAGATTTTAGCCCACCTGTGTAACAATGGTAAATTTATGGACTCACAGCTTACAACTTATTTTACCTCAAAAAATGCTGTTCCAATCAATAGTAATCAATGTAGTCTTTATATGACCTATGAAAAACGAAAAAGTTGGTTCTTCGAGTATGTGATGTTTCGAGGTTTTTCCTGGTTGCTTTTGAACCTGCAACTTACTTGATGGCTGAAAGATCTGGGAACAAATTTTTGTTGTTTTTTACTCCACGGACATTATGGTTCATGCTGGAAGGTTTACTTCTTTGTTACGTGAAGGGACAGATAGGTCTTATCCAATACATTATCAGAATTTTATGATTTAGCCTACCACCACCAGGTTGAGGCATTTTCCTGACTTTCAACTAATACATCTGCTCCTCGAATTTCGGGGTTCTAAGGCAGAGTTTGTAGTTCACCTACATAGGTCTATGTCCCCTGATGGGACAGTGTAAGTCTACGGACTTGTAACTCAAATTCAACATCCTTTTTTTTTCCTTTCACTTCACTTTCTTAGAAGACTCTTAGGATCACCAGCTTCACTGATGATGAGCTGAAGCTCTTGTTAGCATGCACGTTGGTCGAATTTCATCGGCTCCTACAGGGGGTCATAGTTCTGTCCCTGTTTGTGAGTATCAACATCATCCTCTCAGTATATTGGTACTCAGAATAAATTCTGTCTATATCCAAGGTTTCCACTGCTTAGTCAGATTGCCAGCAGCATCAGTGATTATTGTATACCTTCAGAGGATGTGGGGCCTCTGTTCTAAGAATTTCTGGACATGAGTTAAACTTAATCATGGATCTAGGAGCTCTGCAGGTCCTTGGGTCACAATTGGTCGTTCATTTCACACCTTCCCCACTTTTATCCACCCAACCTGTTGCATTTCCATCTCCCGCAGTTCATTGGGTTTTGGAACTTATTAGATCTAAGGTTATCTGAGTTTGGTTGGTCTAGGGGTAGTGAGAGAGTCAGGCTAGTTCTTCAGAGTTTGTATTCCTATCAGTTGTTGGGTCTGTGCAAACAGCAGGAGATTGGTGTCTAGTCATTGATCTTCCTTGTCTATATCAATGCATAAATTCTCCAAGGTTCATAAGTTAAACATATCTCAATCTGTGTTGATTTCTTTATTTGGATTGTAGATGTCCAATTTGGGTGTAGTTGACTCCTATCTGCACTTTGTCTTAGCACTGGAGTCCCACCACTCTTGACATTTGTGGTGCACAAAGGTCAGGTACTCCAGTTCCAGGTTTTCCCTTCAAAGTCACAAAGACTTCACATGGATTCTGTTGTATCATACAAGTTTTTTCTCTCGTCCCCTTCATTCCATTGTACTGTGTGCACACAATTCCATGGTTGACTGGTTACTATTGACACCATCTTGTTAATTGTTAGACCATCACATCCTGATTCTACTTTCAGATACAACCCAGGCAGACTTCCCTTTCGAGGCTGCAAAATCTATTCTTGCTCCAATTCAATATGTCATCACTCTGGATATTTTTTATTTTTATCTCATCTCTCATTTGGGCTTAGCTGTCTCCCATCCTGCTCAATGTTATAGAATAGGATGCCACACTCTTACTCACCTCTCCTTCTCCCATTGCACAGATATTCTTTCTCTTCTGGGAATGTGGGCATCAATCGAATCCTTCGGGCCTTTGGGACAAGAACATGAGTGATCCTTTTATTGGTCTTTAAGTGATCAATGGTTATAAAGATCTGTTTACTGGTTTCTCCAGTTTCCTTAGTCAGGATCATTCTTTGATCTCGGGGGGGAGTGGGGACTGTTAAATTGGGGTACTACTACAATTTGGGCTCCTCTACTGCCACCTTGTCCAGAGTTCCTTTCTCTTCCCGGATGCCTTTTTTCAGGGTTGGGGTGCATATACCAACAGTCAGGAATTCCAGAATCTGTGCACTGATGACGAGGATTCCCTATACAATGTTTTTGTCCTTCTTGATTTTAAACAGGCAAGGCATTATGGTCTGAGATTCTTAAGGAGTAAATCGTCAGACTTCACTCTGACTATTCTCTGGTGGGTCCTATGTTTTTAATCAAAGAGACATGTGGTCTAGGGCTCCTTATTTTCGAAATTTGGACCTCCTTTCTCACAACTAGTCCTATATTATCATCCCTTTTAGCTTGCCATGTTCAACGGGTGATGCCTATGGTAGTAGGTCGATTGTCTCAATCCAAACAGATTCTCCTGACAGAATAGATGTTTCATTGCAAGTTTCTGTTGGATTGGCCCTCATTTTACAACTGTAATTGGTGGATTAGCCTCTCA